AGAGATAGCCGTTTGCCAGCAATCCATCAAATAACAATCAAAGTAGTGCAGCTCAATAAAATTGATAAAACCACACTTGAGATCGAGATTTATCCCCGAGTTATTCTTTGATCTGGACCTTATATAGCACCTCCTCCGTGTATCCGCAATCATGTAAATTTTCGTGCCTCATAGACCAATTTTCAGGTATAATGGTACGGCACGGAGCAACGTTGGCCCTGTGTCGATTTGTGGCTCTCATTGCCTGCTTATTCGCTTTGCCGTTAACTCAACATGGTCGTCACAGTTCGCGGTCTATTGACACATTATTAATGTCGGAGAGACGAGAAAATGTGAGTTCAGCGGCAGTGATGCCATGATTCAGATCTATTGCACACCGGCGAACACCACAATCAATGAAAAGTGGGCAGATAAGTGGCCTCTAAAAATCATCGGTGAAAGTTTCGAGGACTTCGGAGAGCAAGCAGCACCTTGAGTACCTACAAACTTACTAATTGTATTCAGGAGTTGCATCCACTATTAAAAGACCTATCACCCAAAAAAGCTGAATATTACGGACTGAAGGTCATGACAGTTCAACGGGTGGGTAGCAAAATGACTCAATACCATCAAATTTCACGTAAGGAATAAGAATTTGTAAAGGTCCAGACTGAACATGAAAGAGTGGAAAAAGTCTTAAAAGTCCTAAAATCTTAATAGCTTTAGTTAGATGCAAAACCCTGGATAAATGCTTAACTTCTCATATTTTTGGCCCTGATTCAGAATTATTCCATAGCAGTTTGGCTGCAGCCACTAAAACGCGTTTTAAGATGATCTCAACCCTCATACAACAATGAGATACTGAATTTTTTGTTCTTCTAGGAACGGTCCTTTCTGAGACAATCATTTCGGCAAGTTAGCATGATTTCGCAAAATTAAGCAAAATGCGCTTCGTAACCGGACCACAAACCTCTGATGGGGACGGCCTGTTTAGAGGCACTCTCCACCCACGATAGGAATGGTTTAGCTCGTCTTGCGTGCTTGGCTCATGCGCCACTCAACCCAAAGTTGCTTTGACCGCTTCAAATGAGTGTTTAGGCGGTGCCGAATTTCTGGGCAAATAGTGGTGCCGAATCGTGCAATGCGCTCCGTTCGCACTTTAGCGTTTTCCGTGCTAAATAAGCGCCATATACGTATTTAAGGCTCAATTGATTGCCAGAAGTTAACCTCCAGATAAGTCTCGTTCTAATTTCGGAAAATGATGGCATGTTCATGGGTTGAAAGGGCTCCAAGGAATAGTTCTAGGAGAGTCCCAGGACCATTGGCCCACACAGCCTACGATCATGCCACAACCCAATTTTTCAGCAATTTGCTCCCAGAAGTAGTATGAACTTCTAAACATGTATATGACACTCTTCTGGCTTGAGAACGTTTGTGTAAAGCGTGATACGCCAAGCCGTACTATTAGCGAGATAACGCTGTGAAGAACCCTCATAAGTCCATTCAGAGAAACGCTTAAGAGAACAGCAGACTCAAGATGAGCGCAAAAAATGTGTTAGGGTGCTATCGGTTTTATTCTAAAGGCCACTCCGACCTGGATGCCCTTAAAGGCAGTTGGCACGATGGTTTCCTACTTAGCCTAAAATGCTAGTAGGGCGCTGTATAGTGGGGAAATGGCGAAAGAACGGAGTGAAACGATCTGCGAAAAAAGCCTCCGTTTCTCAGTGACGAAAATCGATTTCGGACGAGTTTCCCGTAGGCATCTTGCCAATCACCGCTACCGAAGATACGGCTGCATATGTGTACCCATGTATGCATGCAGCATCACGGCCGCTTACCAATCCCTTCGCTTCATAATTTGCTTAGCAAATGAATGCCCGTCAATACGAGCGTCAGGAACGGTCGTCATTTGTGGACGGGCGGGCGTGGCGGGCGTTTGGGACGTAAAGTTGTGGCTCCGCCATGCAGCGCCTGCCCAGGGTCACGGAATTCTATTCTGCCAGGAGTATTGATCCTAGTCGTCTTGGGGGATTTATCGTGCCAACTGCCTTTAAGATGGGAAACACATGAATAAAAGGAAAGTAAAGAGAAAAAAAGTTGGAAACAGTGCCTTTTACCCCCTCCAGCCGAGGCATACGTGCTGATAATTACCTCCTTCGATTAGATTCTGGCGAAGGAGTCATTAATTTGTGTGAGATGAAATTCGAACCTCAAACTTTTAGGATGTACCATCAGAGGTTAGTGAACGGAGAATCACATGGCCGGGCAGGACAGAAGAAAAGGATGTCATCCAAACATGCGATCAATACAACGCTCCTGGTCGCTATATGATCTATTGCAGTGGTAAATTACTGCAAGCCGTGATGGCCACTAAACTCTACGATGACTCGAAGACGTTCGTCGACCAGCCAATCAAGGAGGGACGAACGGGAAGTCAGGTGATCAGCGATTTCGAGCAACAGTTCCCGCAACCCGTTTCGGAGATCTCCAGAGAAGATGTAAAGAGATTCGTAGACGAAAATTTCGATCGAGAGGGACAAGAACTCACGAGGTAGGTATGAGAATGGAATCCCGCACGTAAGGCAACGTTCAGACTTCGCGATGATGCGCACCGACGCACTGCCATCGCACTGATGCTCTAATGCCATAGACATAAACGCATCCGTAAACGGATATCGATGGGTGCCGGGCGCTGATGTTTTTGGAGAGTACAGAAAAATAGGAGGATACCATGCTGTGTGATTAGGCAACGCCTACCACCTGATAATGCTATTCTTTCTCTCACCACAAACGGCCGATCGAATCCCCTTTTACGACTGTGTTCCATCTATAGCATCGGAGCATCACTGCAATAATAGTGCGTCGACGCACGCGTTATTGCGATGTTTGAACACTGTCTAATAGCGCGTTCAGACTTCACGATCGCTCTACTGATCCGCTCGATTAGATCGCGCGATCGGGTCAACGCAAGGCATGCGTGCATAGGGAGATATAAGAAAAACGGAGCACCATGAACACGGCCCCACCGAATTCTATGGTTCCGGCAGTTTATCGATTGGCGGTGGAGCGCCCCTGATCGTGACCGCGCGATCGATCCAGCGGCGTGACCCAATCGCGCGATCGCGAAGTATGAACGCTCTCTAGTTAATTGAGTCAACGTGTTAACGTTATTAATCGTTGTTTTAGCTGTGCACTTCCCGACTGGACAAGATACCCGTCAAAATTCAAAGGGATCAAAGACAACAATTTACGGTTGTTCGCACTTAATCTGAATGGGATTTGGAAAGAACTTTGCCGCGAGATCAAATCCGCTGTTAAAGAATCCCCGGAGCGATTCTCACTTCTCTATGTCCCACATCCATTCGTTGTGCCCGGAGGACGCTTTCGCGAGTTCTACTATTGGGATGCTTATTGGATTGTAAAAGGTCTGCTCGCGTCAGGAATGATGGAGACCACGAAGAGCATGATTTTGAACTTCGCCTACATCGTCGAAACCTACGGATTCATACCTAACGGTGGTCGAGTCTATTATCTAAGACGATCACAACCACCGCTATTCATACCGATGGTATACGAGTACTACTTGGCTACGAGAGACAAGAACTTCCTTCGAGAAATGCTTCCGGTCATGGAAAAGGAGTTGCAATTCTGGCAAAAGAATCGCACCGTAGCCCTTGAAGTCGACGGGGAGTCGACCATGATGTATCAGTACAGAACCCCGTCCACGGTGCCAAGGTGAGTATCTTCACTTTTGACACTCGCTCTGACAATGAGTACAAGTATACCCAAGGAAAATGATTGGGTTTGCTCTATCGATAATCAAGTTGACTTGGAGTTGATACGGCACTATTTACCCTTCATTGCTCCAGTCATCTCCAATCAAGCCAACTTTTGACCGACTATTGTCTTCGAGAGCAGAACTGGCTGAAACGTTGTACCTTGGGGAGGGGTGACCTGAACATGGATATCGCATCCTCTCACCCCGAAACTGCCCTGGCGCTCGCGCAAAATATCCTAAATCACCAAAGCCGCTGAAAACTTGCTCCCAGGGGTAGTTTGACCCACTGAACACAACTATTGCACCAGTTAGCTCTGAAAACTCAGGAGGAACTCACCACTTGTTCTGCCGCGTGTAGCACGGGACTTGTCTCATGACGTGCGGTGTGCGGGTAGTCAGGGGAACGGTGAGAAGGGCAGCACCCTTCTGATTGCCTCTTCTGACCTGCTTCTGCTAGCAACACTCACTTTTACCAAGCCAATTCAGCGGAGGGAGAGATCGCTATCTCGGGGGAAGGGTGCAGACGAGCAGAAGCAGGTTGCGCTATCAGGTGTACCCCCTCTCACCTTAAAGGCAGCGTCCGCGATCAACCAAAGTGAAAAACCCTCCAATGAAAACGAACGCGGAGTACGCAACCACAGCGGAAATCCCACTCTTGCGGCTCGAAATCGATTGGTTGACGAGGGCGGAGTCAACAAGGCTGAGCTGACGCCTCCTTCCTGTTAATCCCGCCCCGACTGGTTAACAGTTATCAGTGCTTGCTGGCATTGATAAACGCTAAGTTTCTGGAGTTCCGAGGCCGCGACGTGTATTGGAGAACTCACCAAAGGTCTGCGAAACTCGTCCACATGCCTTAAATTTCGTAGGGTCTTATTTCACGCTCTTCCACACCTTTTTCCTACTTTTTTTGATTAGTGCTTCATTGGCCACCTGTTCTAACAAATTTGACCCCTGAGACCTGCCAAAGTCCATCGCGGGCGCTGTCTTTAAAGACAGCTCCCGCGATAAAAGTCTCATGGATAGCTGCTTTCCAATTATGAAACAGCAGCTGATAAGTAATCTCCCAAAGAAGAAAACAGGCAAGAAGCGTTCTCCAGAACAACATAAACAAAATCGCTCCCTCACAGTCACACCTCCCTGCGGTCTCTGTGCAGCCCCTAGCTCACAAGTCTCTCTATCACATCTCGCAGTAGTTGATATCATCCAGTGCAAAAGAAAGAATACAAAAAGAAAACAACAAAAACGCAGAGGAAAAACTCTGGGAAGGAAAAAGGAATTTTATCAACACGGTGTCTGAATTTGTGATTACGGTAGCGCACCTTTTGTGCGTCGTGGTTTTGCATCACGAAAATTGCGTCACTCGTGTTTTTTACGCGTTTCACCTCGCGAAATGGGTTTGAATTGAATGTATATACCTCCAATGAGTAAACTGTAATGAAGGAGAGCAGAATTATCCAGGGGCATTAGCAATGCCCGCCGCCCCAACTAAGAACAAGTGAGTGGCCTCCGTCGGAGGACATCTAGCAAGTAAAGGCGGTCCGACTGAGGAGGAGTTAGAACTAGCACTTTGAGCGGCTATAGCAGCCTCCACGCTCACAATAGAGTCGCGAAAGGTGAACAGTCTTCTAGCTTGGAGGCTAGACTACTTGCACAGCAAAGGCGACCACGAGCCACTTTGATCGCGGGGGCTGTCTTTAACTTTCAACAGTCACGCAGATGTGATACTCGTGTTCGGAAGGTAAACTATCCCCAAGGACAGGTTTTCAGCAATTTTGGTGATTTGAGATATTCTGGCGCCGGCGCTTGTAACGCGAGCGCCGGGAGGTGTCGGGTCAAGCGGATGTGATATTTTGTTCATGAAGTCATTTACCTCTGCGAATAAGTTTTCAGTGAATTATATGGTTCGAGTATTTTGGCGCTGGCGCCTCAATAGCACCAAAAGGCTCGGGGCCAAGCGGATGTGCTATGCGGGTTCAGCAGGTAAACTACCCTCAAGAACACCTTTTCAGGAAATTTGGTGATTTGGGGTAATTTGACGCTCGTGGCTGTTGCCGGGCGCCAGGTTTGGGCTGAGAGGGTTGTTATCGTGTTCAGAAGGTCAGAATACTCAGGGTAGAATGTTAACTTATTTCTGCCGAACAAGGTTGTTAGATAGAACCTTTTATTGGCCCGACGTTTCGACCTTCTCGTCTTCTTCAGAGGCCGAGGTTCCACCGTGCGGAGCCTAGCTCACGCTATGTGTCAGTAGGGTAAGTAAGGACGAATTCGTCCGAATACGGTGGAACCTCGGCCTCTGAAAGAAGACGAGAAGGTCGAAACGTCGGGCCAATAAAAGGTTCTATCTAACAACCTTGTTCGGCAGAAATAAGTTAATATTCGACATCATGCCAAGGTTACAAGAAGGGACAACTTGGAGATTACCAGAGTAGAATTTTCTAGCCAAGTCTGCCCTCGGAAGAAATCAGTCGTGTTGCATTCATTCAAATTGCTGCATTCGGATGACTGGGGCAGTAAAGGGTAAACAGTACCGCTGATGCTATTATTCAAAATTGGCAGATACCAAAATTTCAGGCCAGAATCCTATCGCGAAGACACGAACGCAGCCGAGAGCATAACTAATGAGAATTCTAAACGCCAGTTCTACCAGGACATAGCCAGTGCAGCCGAATCTGGATGGGATTTCTCCACTCGGTGGTTCGCTGACAAACTAACGCTCACCTCCATTCAAACCACTAACATTCTTCCTGTTGATCTCAACGCTTTCATCTGTTACAATTTACACATTCTAGGAGCCTTACACGCCGAAGTCGGTAGGTATTCCTCATTTGGAGTTCATGAGCCCCACTGGGCTTTCTAGTGGACAGCAGCGTTACCGGCTCATTGCAGGAAATGAGCACAAAAGTACCTCTTGGTTAACACAATATATCAAATTCCGTTCGGATTTCGAGAAAGTTTTCTATGTGAAAGCGGCCAAGGGATGGTACGACTACAATCTTCACACGAAACAACACAACACCGATTTCTATGCATCAATTGCTGTTCCTCTATTCACTCAATGTTACGAACCGCTTAGTTTGTCGAAAAGCGACGATTTGTATGATAAAATGGAGGAAATGGGTGTATTCAGCTATGTAGGAGGAATCCCAACGAGGTAAGCTACTTTCAACTAAGAAAACCACTTCAGCAATTTTATAGGGAGCCTTCCCCACTTGCTGGAGTACCGCCATTTTGCATTCGTATTAATACTACCTACTCTGTCGTTCGCAACTATTATACATCTCACTCTACACGATTTTCATGGCTGAGCATGCCTCTAAATCAGCAGAGACTCACAATAGAAGGACCAAGTTACCGAGTTCCATAGTGCCGCGCTCACTGAACCTTTTTGAGTCACGGATGTCTCAAAGACAGGCCGTACACTCTCCGTGGATCCAAGCCCTGGCCACGTGTGAGTTGGACGGGTCCACAGCTGCAGTAGCGTGCCACTTTCTCGGCTGAAAAGTGCCCGAGAACAGGGCTGTAGGGTGGTGAACCCAGGTACAGTCACCATTCTCTGCCTGCGCTATGTGCATCACTTCCGTCGATACCACGATCCCGCTGCGAAACACGCTTTGAAGACGGTTTGCATCGAACGGTCCGCAAACTGCCTCCGTGCATTTGGTCCACAAATAATAGGAATATACCATTTTCGTCACTCGAAAGTGAGATAAAGAAGCTAGAGACGCGCGATTACTGCAACCATTGCAACCACGATTACTTTCACTCTGCAAGCCAACAGCTTACAAGCGGAACTGTATGTGTACATAGCGCTGCCCGGAGCGTTGTAGGGAGATTTCATATGCCTTTACAGGGAACTGGTTGCACGTAGAATCCTGCTGATCGGACTTCTCCTCATAATGAACTCGAGCATCCGCCGCCCCCACTGCTGAGGAGGTTCCTGCTCAGAGTGTTCCCAAGCTTTTTTTCGCTCCTTTCTCTACTGGGAGTTACTTATGGGCTACTGGTTCATGATCAAGCACCTTCTACCCGTGACACTTGATCGCGGGAATTATCACTTAAGCGACATAGAACAACGAGAAAGAGAGCACGCAACGCGTTTGAGTATAGTGTAGTTCGCTGCGGACGGTTGGGCGTGTCAGGCGGGATGAGTTTGGCGCGGTGCCAAACCCGTTCTCCACCAGTTGTTAAAGCGAGCAAGTGATATGACTGTATCATATCGTTCGTATTACTCGTTTTCTACCACTTTTTGTCGCATGCGCGCTTCAACAAGAAGGCAGAGAACGGCTTTGACGGTGTGAACACTCATACTGCCTGACACGCCCAACCGTCCGCAGCGAACTAGAGTGTATGCTCAGGCGTGTGGCTGGCAGTGCGGGCTGAGTATGAATGGCAGACGGGCTTCAGTACACTCCAACCACGTTCCCGTGAACTTTTGAGCGGAGGAAAAGGCACGCTACAGAGCGCTACTCAAAGGCTTACAGCGCAGACGACCAGATCACCAACCCAGCCCTAACTGCGTTGACGCCTTCCACTGCAACAGCGGACCCAGTTCACCATGGCCAGTGCCAGAATAAACCAGGGAAGTGAGTCTACAGTTTGTCTTCAAGATCAGATCAAAAAGGACTCAAGAATACGCTCGTATCACCTGCAACC